ATGACACTGTGTATAYAGAATTATRAGAAAAACAATATTAAACACTAYTGTTTGGATTGCAAAGTGAGGCACTTGGAATTCTTGTTGCCAGTGGCACCTTAATCCAACCTCGCTGTGTGTTTGTGTGGCCAGAACATCTGTAATCACATCATATTTGCTCTTTTTGCTGTGGGACTGAAGGCAGGGATGCCCATCAGCCAAACAGCTCTTTGATTCTTTGTCTAGACATCATTCCATGCTCAGCACCATTCCTTACTCAATGCACACTCTTCAAAAAGTGCCCTTCATACAGAATTATTTCCTTATGGATTTTTGCTGTTTTCACCCAAGTAATTCAGAAGCCAGAGTTCATCTTTACATTGTGGCATTCTACCTAATTACTAAATAATGCACTAATTGAGCAGCACTGACACCAGGACACTCTGTAGTCTTGGGTGTCCAGTTCAGGGCACCTCCAGAGTCCACAAACACATGCACCAGTTACTCTCTCATAGAATGTGATCCTAAACATCACTCTGTGGGTGTTAACAGATKGCAATCTCCAGGTGCAATTCCAGAAAGGGAATCCTCCGGGAGCAGCTATGAATTCCAAACAATGAAAGCATCTTTTGCACAATATACTACTAATCCTAATATTTCCTAAGATTTCCCAAATGAAGAAATCCTAATATTTCCTAAATGAAGCCCTGAAATGGCACTGGATAGCACAGAAGTCCTGAAGTTTAATCAAAATGAATCAGCACTGGGCAATGGTGCTTGCATTCAGAGCTTTGGGATAGCTGACCTTCCAACTYCATTAGCATTGCTTCAAGGTAGCTTTTAAAGACCCAAACTAAACTTTGGAATACTGCCATGGAGCACGCTGTAATAGGGTCTGCACTAGGATTTGACACACCAGATACTTGTAGGAATGAATAAAAGCCCTCCTGCCCCACAGGGTATCGGGCTGGAACAATGAAGTCGTGGTGCTCCTATTGAACCTTCAATGAGGCTCTCGGGGTGAATGCACACAGAGACATTTGCACTGAAGTGTGAGACACTTTAGGCACAAAGATTTGTCTCAAACCAGTTCTGAAGCAGAGATGGTACCACTTCTTGAGGTGGAAAGGTCAGAAAACAGGGCCAACTTTGCACTCACAGCCGTGCAATACAAAATCCAGAAGGTGGCAGCAAATATCATTCCTTACAAGAAATAAACTGTCTATTCCAAGGAAATCCAAGAYACCTATGGCCAAAAGTTGCAGGCATTTGCTTTCTGTAGGAATAAWTGTAGTTTTGATAATTGCATGTGGRTAAAGATTAAATTATAATGAAAAGCAAAATTTGTCACAAAACTTAAGTGAGATATTTGACAGTAAATGTTTCATTAGTTTGTACACAAATTGTGAAAACAAGGTTATTCTCACCTGAAATAATATCACATTTAGAAATAATCTGAATGYAGAATGAATTGAGTTCCAGTCCTATAATTCCCTATAAATTTTCAGAAGCAAGCCCTGACTAGACAGCTTTGAGGAAGTCAGGATCAGACATGAACTGTGTGATTCTAATCTATTCCTAGTTCTAGCCGAGCTTACTGATAGGGTTTTGTTGTTAGACGAGCAAGATTCCCTGCCTCCCCACCCATTAGTCCAATTTCTGCATTCCCATTTTAGTCTACTCTAAGATATTTCAAGAGTTTCAAATAAATGCGATTTTASCATTTAATTTCAAAACTTCTGGTAGTCACATTGCAAAATAGCTGGAATATTTACTGCAGAGTTGGCAGCATTTCAGAGACCAATTATTTTTTAATTACATAAAGTTTGAATTGTAAATGGTTGGGGATGGAAAAAAATCTGTAATAATATTAACAATATGTCTCCCTTCTATATTCAGTTCAGTTGAAAAAGTTGAAATGCTTCTTTGATGTTTAAAAAAAAATGGAAAAAAGGATAGAATTGAAAGGCATAAAAAGCAAGTATTACTCCCTTTGTCCTACCATTTTCTCAGTGTTTTGGTCTCTAACTGCAGTGGCCATTACAAGCCCACAGAAAGCCAGAAGAGAAATGCATCACTCGGCTTTTTATAAAGACACAGTCACTTTTTGAGATAAAACAATTGTTTTATCTGCTTCCTCCTCCTTTGTCCCCTTTCTGTGTAAACAGCATCCAGGCGCTATTGTTAACTCAGATTCTAACATGCTTTGATATGGGATTAAGGACCAGGACTATAATGAAAAGATAAAAATAAAACTGCTTTAATGATTTAGACACTGAGGTCCAGGTTTTTCAAGTGACTTAATCAGGATGGAGTTTAAATTGGAGAGAGTTTCACTGGACTCTTCAGAGTCCAACCTACTTTTGTCTCCTTGGCTGGTAAAAAGGCACTTGTGGCATGTAAACACACACACACACACAGTTTTTTCACTTACAAAGGAGATGTGCCACCTGAGACACATAAACAGCTGCTGGAAAATAATTTCATTAAATACTATTCATTTGCATCGTCATTTGGTCTGGGAAAGGAAAAATACTTTTCTSTCTCCTGCCTTTAAAATCTGCACTATTTTACAAACGTAAGTGTTGTTCATTTTGTCTTTCAGCTCSTCATAATCAACAAGAGAATTGATAGCTGTAAGTTCCAAATAACCCATTTTTACTGAGTATCGATCATTTTTGAACTCCTAAGTAGTGCACTAGTTTAGTAAGTGAGAATCTCTTAACTTTTTCCTCAAATTCCTTCAACCCTTATGGAATGGACAAAGTTCTTCCCAAACGTTCCAGCCTTCCAGGTAAATCATCTGGAATGCKATTTGCCCTCACAGGTTTTGTCTTCTTACAATCCAAGAAGAAAAATTTTAGTTAAACCCGCACAATGTTCAGTCCCTGCTTCATGGAAGCAGACATTATCATGTCTTACTTTATCAAATCTAGAGGGAACAGATGTGCATTTTCACATTTTGGAATTTGAAAGYTAAAACCCAGCCTGTTTCCAGAACYTTTTCTAAAGACAAGMTATCAAGGGGGAAAGGGAAGCCCAGATCAGGACTTCTGTCTGAATAATACTTCAATAAAAAAGTAGTGAAATACACTTAATAACTCATCATTCTCTGATTAAACTCTGTCAAAGAAAATTAATTCCTGCTTTATCACTAATGGTTATGCTAAAAGGATACTTCTATAACTTGATGAACTCTGGAGCTTTTCTCTGAACATAACAGACTAAACRGGATCTTCATCTGATTCTCTTGAAAAGCCAGATAGTTTATCCAACACTKGTTGCAACAGTCTCATTTCCCTCTGCATCTCTGAAATCCTACAAAGTACTCRCAGGGCTTTGAAGTGGAATTTCCATGAATTAAAGTGGAATTTTTCTGTCAACTCAGCATAATCAGTGTTCTAGAACCCTCCAGATAGGAGCTAGCACAGGTAGACTAACAAGGTGGACCTGTTTGATCAAATTCTTCATCCCTCTCTACAACTTTATCTTCTCTATTGCTTTGTTTTCTTAATTGCCACCTAATTTCTTGTGGTTTGAGTTATCTGATTGATTYCTAACCTAAGTGTGTGTGTGGGTAGATTAATAATGTTGGGGAGTTTCCTCTCTGGAAATGCRAACTAGAAATAGCTGACCAGAGCAAAGAGGTGAAAGGATAGTCTTGTCATAAAGCATTAGCTGTGAAACTAGTCAAAGCCCTCATGATATAACCTCTGGGTGTCACTGCACTTTTTAGAAGAGATCCAGACTGAGAACCACCAAACTGAAAATGGTGAAATGTGAAGTCTCTCAGTTTCTATCTCTCAGTTTCTATCTCTCATTTACGAGGCTGATAAAACACTGCTTAAAAGCCTGTGTGAAGCAGCGGTCTTTCAAGATTCTTAAATGCAGCAAGATCCTGTGGCAGAAAAGTTAAAAATGTCACATTCTTTCCTAGATCATCTATACCTTGAATGATCACATACCTGTTGGCTGCTCTCTAGTTCAAGGCACACAGTGTTTTAAGTTTGAAAAACTCATTAGGAAAAGTAACACAGGTCAATATTGTTCACAAGAAATTCTAGCAAAGCCTCTGGCAAAAAGAGCCAGGAATTTCACAKCAGATTTCAGAATTAAAGGCATTTAAGCCTGAGGACATGAATCAATGAGTTTAAATCAGTGAGTTTAGGAGCTGTGTGCATGGAGACTCTAAGAACRACGTCATTTGTGTAACACAGGGAGCAGGTCTGGCTTGGGGACAGGCTGTACCTGCTTCGTGTGCTGCCAAATGGCTGCTGCAGCAGAACCTTCTCACGAACACAGTTTCTGTTTCAAAGTGCTGCATTACTAAGAAGATTAGGATTTGTTAAAAATGAATGGATTGCTCCTATAAGTGGGTCGGAATGTACTGAAATTCTGAGGGCATTGCCTTTTAAAGAAGCCAAAAGTAGCGTCATGTAAGGGTATTAAGTGAATGATTGCATTAACGCCTGTAATTGCTTGTGTTCGTTTTTATGCCCCAAAAGGTAAAAACTAGGATAAGTCTAATAATTTTCGAGTAAGAAAAGCCTTTCTTAAAAGGAGATTGCCAAAGATAGGATCTTGAACACATGTCCTAGACAGAGCCTGTTATCAAACAAATTAGGCTGTGCCTAATGTTAGAAAGAACTTTGTAAACACCCAGGGAACTGYCACAACATGACTCCCTTTTGCATGAAAAATGGTCTTTCCAGAGCAAGGCACACTAGCTAAGTAGCAGGAAAGCTGCACAGTTGCTAATGCCATTGTACTTTTCCAGTAATAGCCTGCCTTTGGTCTGCTTACTTTCCTCAAAAATTCAATTTGCTGCATCTTTGTTCCTGTTGCTTTCTCTGCCTCCTGCCTTTCCAGTAAATTAAAGTTCTAAAAAACACACRTTATAAGAGACTGCCAGGATGTCACGTGCTTTCAGGATCTATTGTTCCAGTTTGGAAGTGAAGAGAAGGGGCTTCCTTTCTTGCTGTTTAATAACTATAACTCTATTTGGTATTTTATCTTCCTAGGGAAGAAGCAGTGGCCGCTCATTATCGCTTCCTGGGAGACCTTCTTCATTCACTCCCCGAGCCATGTCTCCTACTTCTCCTCTTGTATTTCAGCCTGCCCCCGATTACTTCAGCAAACCAGACACAGCAGCTGACAAGCCTGGMAAGAGACTGACTCCCTGGGAAGCAGCAGCCAGATCTCCCCTCGGCCTGGTGGATGAAGCTTTTGGCCCCCAAAGCATGCAGGAATCCATCGCTGCYAACGTGGTATCGGCCGCTCGCAGGAAAACGCTTCCTGAGCCACCTGATGAATGGAAACTTAAAGTTTCTTACGAGCCTCCAGCCCCAAGCGGTAGCGTAGCCTTACTAGGAGGGAAGCAATCCGGGGTTCTGTCACCCCAAAAAAGCTCCCTTCCTGCCCCAAATGCCCCAAATGCCCCAAATGCCCCGGCCCAGGCTGGCCCTAAGCTGCAGTATCCCTACTGCACTCAGCGCTCCAGAACGGATCCCGATATGATGTCTGTGGATTCCAGGTCTGACTATTGCTTGTCCACAGCTGATTCCAACTACAATCCACAGCCAAGGGGATGGAGGCGTCCAACATGAGCAGCTGAAGGGCCTGGTGCRTTTTCCCTTCCTCCAGCTTAACAGGCCCTAAGATCTGAGTTGGAGAAGGAAAGTTTCTTGCTGGCCTGATGATCTCTGAAGTAAAAAAATGAGGAGACAAAATTGAATGGAGCACAGTTTTCACCTGACTGCAGCGCTAGCAGCCTRTAGAATAGATTCAGTTTTACACCTAAGGTTGTTCTGCTTGTCAAAAGGCAAAAATATGCATTTCTTGGGGTGAGGGGAGAGACGAAAATGGGGCAATCCATGCAAAAATCTAGAAAGGATGTAGAAAGTGACAGCAAAAATGCTTGCAGTTAAGCTAATGTGAAAAAAAAGAAGCTAAATAAGGGCATTTATAAACCAAGAAGTATTTTACAGGATCTTGTAGGTTTTGTGAGCATGTTTGACATGAGTTCCAAGTTACTAAACATAATCAGAGTTGCAAAAGTTGTAATGGAAGTGGAAGACTTTGAAGGACTGGCTTATTTGCCATCTGTTTCCTTAATTGTATTTCTATCGTGAGCTAAGGAAGTAAATCAATGAATATTTTTACTGTGGCAACAGTTAAAATACACCTRTGGCAATGCTACCTGAATCATCACAATACATAGATAGGAAATCATACCCAGTCACTCATTTCAGATGGATTTCAAGACAGTTCCAATGAAGTTTTACATTTTATAATTGATCTGAAAACACCAGGAAGAAAGGTGTKGTTAACAGAGATCAGTACCATGATACTTGAACAGCAAAAGAGATGAGGAGTGTATTTAAACTGGATTGCAAGTTATTTTCRTAATAAACTATCAAACAAGTCAGAGGCTGAACAGCCTTTATTTCTCTGGGAAATGCACTATTTGCTGAACATTGACTGCTCCAGTGCCTGGTAACCTGACTGGCTGGGCAGTTATTCTTGTATCTAGGGTAGCTCAATGTTTAGAAAGCTTTRGAGTTTTAAAARTTTGGAAGAYRTAGATAAGTTGTTTATTKAGGACAGTTCATGCTCTATGTAGAAATTGGTGTGTGACAGAGGGTTTCTGACACGTGGCACACGGTGCGAGTCTGGGAGCAAATATTTGGGTGGTTGGTTGTACCTAAGTGATCTTGATGGATCTGAAGGGATGGTGGATCATTTTTGTTGGTGAGACATACCTTGCATTTCTAGCTTATTTAAACAATAGAAATATGTGGCTAAAATTGTATGTATTCCAAGCTTCCTGGCTAGTTTAGATGTAGTTAAAGCATTAAATTAACACTCCAAGTTTCACAAAGTGCTGTCAATCCTCCTTATTTTGTGGGGAATTCTTGAAGGATCTGTCAAGCATAGTCAACTGAAATTACTGCAGAAGTACTGTCAACTATCCTTAGTTTCAGTAAGGYTGTCACCATGAATGAAGGGATTAGATTAGAAATAAAACATATATGCAGTAAGAAAAAATACATTACAAAACATTCCTATCTGCAAAAAAAAAAATTCACTTATAGCAATTATAAAGTATAATTGGTATGAAGAAGAAAGAAAAATTAAATCCAAGTTCAGTTGATCTGGAACTTACCCCGAAAGCAAATAATTATCTGAAAAATATTGCTTTAATGAGTTTAARTTGGCAGAAATCATGCAGCCAAACAGAAGTTTCCCTGAAATTCAACTGATCCTTCTGACCAATCAGGAAATGAAGATATGAGAGTGGTAAACCTTTAGAATAGGATCATGGTGCTATGGCACCTTACAGATTTATTTCACAATATGAATTTGCAAAAAACCAAAAAGATTATTTAGAAAAATAAAAAGGGCTGCCATGATATGTCTGAAAATGAGCTTTGAACCTCAGAGTTATACACACACATAATCAGAGTAAATTTTCCTGCCACACAGGGAAAAATAGAYTTTTCTCTCCAGTGTCCCTTTATGTCCTTTTTATCCTTTTTATAACTGGGATTCTTCCATCAATGGGACTGTGGAACTCCCCTTAACTTTGAGGGCTTATCTTCAGATCCAGCCCTATCCCCCTGGAAGTACATGCCAAATCTTCATTTAATTTCAGTTAAATTATAAATCAAATTGGAATGCAGTGAAAAAATTCAAGGTCACCAAGGCCTTAACCATTCAATAAACATAAATGCATTTGTTTTTCACAGATGATCGACATTCTGTTAAGTATATATTTCTTGCATATTTTGCTGACTGTGGTCCACATTACCATAACAAAACAAGTCCCTGTTTTTAGGTCAAGTTCAGGTTTCAGYTTTTAACTGTTTCCTTTACATCATCAAACAGAAAACCAGATTAATGAGTTTGTAGTAAGGCATATTTTTACCCAACACTGTTATTTCACTTCTAATAAGCAGACAACTATCTTTTAAATTCCCATTGAAACTAGTGCTGTGAATTCTGAGGTCTTGCACCTACCAGAAGCAAATGTGTGCTTCATTCTAAGGTACATGCAATTAAAAATTGCCAAAAATGGTTCTAATTTTTGATATTGCAAAAAAAGTTATCGTACAAAGTGATCTTCAAAAGGCTTTAATGCTGTTATCACATGGCATTACGGGAAAACATACTGTAGGATGAAGCCCTAATTCTCCATCCCAAATATGCAACAAGCATGGAAGTAAAGACTTTCAGACATATCATTGACTTTCTGTCAATCTCCCTAGAACAAAGGAAGGATATATTATAATTTTATTCTATTCACAAGTAGGAATTAATCACTGAGTACTTCTGTGAACATGAGAATCCCCGACGCTGAGTTTGATTGTATCTTATCATAGATTAATTTGGGTGTTTTACATGACCTACTCCAGATATTTTTTTCCTCCTGCTGAGGATTTCCTAGCTCTCTTTCCCATGTGGGTTCTCCCATATCTAAAATGGAACGAGCTCCCACTGCAGCATTTCCCTCAATAGCAACACTGGTAAGTGGATCTGGCCCCCYCGACGCTGTCTATTTTTACAAAGTCTGTAGGCAATGAATTGTCTCTGAGATCTCTTCCTCTGCCACAGAGAAATGAAAGTAATAAACATTTTGTAAGTTATTAATGGGAGGGCAGACATGAGGGCAGGCATGCAGACAGATCACATAGCAGTGTTTAGAAGGAAATCAGGCTAAATCCAGATTGAGACCATGTACTGATTTCAAAGAAAGCAGCAGGCYTGGACCAGTAAATGAAATATTAATGTGTCAGGGCTTTAGAAGGACCCCATGGCATTTTAAACTTCTGTTCTTCACCCCATTCCTCCACTAGCAAAGCAACTTCCTATCCAATAGTTGTGACGGTTGTGTGTGAGTTCTGAATATATTATTGCAAGTATTTCTTACATTTGCTTTTGAATGCACAGATCTGCTCAGTAAATGTGAGGAAAATCTCTTAATATTTTTAATCRTTGGCTTTATGTTCACCCTCAGAGGTGTCTCTGCTAACATGCAGAGCATTTGAATACACAATGTAACTGCAAATTTAGTTTCTTTAGTTATGTTAGGTGATGATGTTCACAACTCTTGTTCATAGTTTATTTCCATTTYGGTTTGCTTTAACACAACCAAATATCTATTCACACTGCATTTCTGCCTAGTAGCAAGAGACTTTGTTATCTTTATGAAAGACTTTTCACTTCTGAAGACTTTTGCTCACTGCAAAGGACACTTTATTTGACAGTGCATGCCAGCGATGTAAATTGTATCACATAATAAAGTGATTTGACCAATCAGATGAGAAACACAATTTTGTTTTCCCTAAATTCTTGTCTGTTTGTTTAAATAATCTGAACCCAAGTAAAGCCTAATCTCTTTTTTTTTCTGCACCATTTTTAGACTCACTGACTTTGCCTGTCAGTGACCTCATGATGGTATGAGCTTCTAGAAGCTTAAATCAGCATCAGGTCAAAAGGCAACTTATCAAATTTAGTGGAATTTCATTTCCATACTGACTAAGCAGAGGAAAGAAATGCAGTGAAGCACAATCTACCCAGGTTAAATAATACAATCAGAACCGTTTTGATTGTTTGATCTTTTTCATCCCAACCATAAAAATCTGCAACTAAAATCCACTTACTACAGTTGCTTGTCTACTTTACTTGCACCTAACCCTCTGTTTAGTTCCTTGTTCATTGCTGTATTYTCTCTTTGTTTATTCTCAACTGAAACATACTGTTCAAACATGAAATAAATATTGTGAATAAATTGTGAAGCCAGTCTTTACACTGTGCAGGCTATTTGGATAAATAACTCTTAAGGGAAATAAGCACAGCATATACAATGTATCTGTGGAAAGGCAGATCAGATTTTCACTATCGACATGAAATGAATAACAAAGCAGTTTTTGYATTTGTAAAGCAAGCAGGATTTTGTCCCCAGTACAAGAAAAATGATTGACGCATGTAAAACTWGGGGAACTGAAAAAGCTCCACAACAGCATTTTAGGAGCTTTGCTTTACAAAGGATTTACAAGGTTATGAGAGTCAGTGCTATTCTTTTTCATGGCTACATTTTCATTCTTCTTTGGTAAGTTCTTAAATACATSATAAAGAAAGCAAGCAGAAGACAGATCCACGGTCTAACATAACTCCCTAACTTGACTTCAGTAATTTGCAACAGATTAAAAACTGCTCTGCCAGGCAAACAGTCACGGGTTTTGTAGGATGTTTCACTCTCCAGAGAATGTTCTCTGGGTTTCTTGGAATGCTCTTGATTTTCTGGTATATTTGTCAATGCATAAGAGCATTTTAAATTACTCAGTGTGGCAGACTGCTCCCTTACTAAATGTGAGGCTGGTGGAATAAGGAATTTTAAATCCAGAAAGGCGGATGTTTCCAGGCAAGTATCTGTTTTTCCTCAAATTGAATATTTGTGCTTTGAAATTGTTCCCTGGATATATTATTGGACCTTGAAAAGAAGCCTTGTGTTGCTGCTGAGTCAGAAACAGCGCTCAAAATGCTGTAAAATGTTCACACATTTTCAGTCCTAAAAAAGGACTCAAGTATTTCAGTCCCAAACCGAAATGACCTCGGGAGTGTTTGTGTGCAGGCACACGAAACTGTGGGTTTTTTGGTTTTTTTTCGGGTTTTTTTTTTTTTTTTTTTTTTTTTTTTTTTTTGTGGAGAAGGAAAGGTAATGGTTAATTAATAGCTGTTAATGGACAACTAGGAGAACATACTGTGCTGCACTACCATTCAAACAGCTGGAAGGTTCCAATGCACTGACACACATATAGAAAAGGCATTGATAAACCTCTAGAKCTAATTTTATCTTCAAAGTAAATCAAAACCCAAGGGTAATTTTGTCTAAACACTGCAGAGGTTCACGAGTAGTTTTTTCCATATAAATAAGGAAACCAAAGGAAAGACATGCTAATTGCTTGACAAACCACGTTGTATGCTGTAAATAATTTAAACCAGGCTGTAGATGAGCAGAATTTGCCTTAGGCAAAAATGGAAAAGAAGAAGCTTTACAGAATTCTAAATCAGAATAATAGATGTATTGGTATATTTTCCCAGCATGAACGATCCCACATAACTCTGGCAGCTATAAAACAATTGCCACACTTAAACATTATTAACAATTTGCTAAGTCATMTTAGATTTAATCAGTCATTTCCTATTATCAGTGGATGCACTTGAGTTTAGCCTCAGAAAGTCAGTAAATTTGGAAAAACAAGAATCAACATAAAGTCAGCATATTCGTAACTCTGCAATATTTCTAGAATTTTGGGGATTTTTTTCTAACAGACAAGCTTATAAGCACAAACACAGAAGTTTTGATCATGTGCTCATCAGCTACTCTGATTTTTGAGTCTCTTCAAGGCAGTTTATATTTAAATGCAAATATTTTKCCTATTAAATAGCTTGTTATACAAACAGAACTTATATTGAAGCTCTCCAGTGAATTACTTGTATGCAAAAAAGAATAGTTTTAAAAACATGAGCAATATGAGTAACTTTTATAGTTTCCAAGTAATTCCCCATTA